AGTCTCTCTCTCTCTCTCTCTCTCTCTCTCTCTCTCTCTCTCTCTCTCTCTGTGTGTGTGTGTGATTTTCTTTAAGGATAAAGAAGTACTTCATGGTTCAATCATCTCAGCCATATTAAATGTATTGAAGGCTTTCTTGATCATAGTTGATTGTAAGGAATGAGATCTACGTGGGTCCTTCCTCAGGAGCATAGAATTAATCTGCTTCCTCTTTGTAGAGAACTGGTTCAGCACAGTGATTAAAGATTAAATGCAAATTGAATGAAACTAATATAGCAAGATGGGTCCTAGATATTCTTCAAGATTCTTGTCTGTTCACAATTTTTGAATAGACTCAAAGAATATTTCACGAGTGAATTCCAAGGTAATTATAATTCACTTTCCTATGAAAATTACAGTTTTGCTTTTAATTTGCTTCTTATTGTCTGAGTTTTTAGCCCAGTGTCTATAATAAAGATCCTGATAGTTTTGGGAGGTTGTTAAGGTTCACAGCTTGCTTTCATCCCATTGTTGAACTCCATTTAGATAATCATAGACCTTGAGCCCATAGAATATATATTTTTGAGAAACAGTGATCCCTCATTATATGTTGTTTTAGAAACATGTAGTTTTAACTACTCATATCATTTATCCATTGATGTACTTTTCTTCTTAATTCTTTGACTTTTATTTTTTATGTGTTTTTGAGACAGGGTCTTGCTATGTAGCCCAGTCAGTCCTTGAACTTTTGATCTTCTTTTCTTAGTCTTCTGCATAATAGGATTCAGGTATGTGTCATTATATTCAGTTTGTTGGCAAATTTTTAAAACTCAGCAAGTTAAATAAAAGTAGAAACTATAGACAGATTTTTGCTGTTTCTGTTAAGAAATATGAAGTTATAAAATTTACAGGCTAGAACTAGAAAAAACCATCCAGACTTATGTAACCTAGACTGAGAAAGACCAACACTCAATATGATTCTTTTTCTCATCTGTGGGTGTTAGCTTTTAAGTTTTGTGTATGTGTGTTTCATTTAGAATAAACATAGAGGTTAAGTCACTAGTAAGGACTAATAAGGGACCATTGAGAAGGAAGGTATATTTCAAGGAAGGGAAAATAGAATATAAGGTTACAATGGAAAAGGCAGGGAGTAGAACAGGAAGGGTTAAATGGATTATGGGATGAGAGGAAAAGGTAGAGGAAGGAATACTGGGAAGAATGCCTACAACTAAAGGCCTTTTATAAAGCCATATGTAAACTAATACTGTAGAGTTTCCTAACACACATACATAGAGATAGAATTTTAAAGTTACTCCCTAAAGGAAGGCAATACCCCAAGTACACAACGTACGTTACCAAATAAAATCTATATGGGTTACTTCTTTTTAGTTGTTGGTTCAGTCATATTGATTCCTTCCCAACATGACAGGGTATTGCCAATTCTGCTGTTTACCCACCACAACTTTAAGATCCTATAATAGAAGTCATTACATATTTGAGTCAAAGAACCATAGCTGGAGAAAAATCTAGCTGGTACTCAACTGGAAGCTTTAAACTTATTGGCTAGCATTCATACTGCAGGAAGGTGCTATGTATGCTACCAAAAGAGTAAAGTAAACATTGGTTTCACCCAGCTCTGAATCCTGTGAGCTACAATAATAACATGGGTGACAAGATATACCCACTGGTGCAATAGTGGCACAAATGTTTGGGAGTAACTAAACAACATTTTCCATTAGATTTAAGTAGCGTTCCATGAGATGGAACCCATACCTGACATTGTTAATGAGGTCAAGAACCTGTAGCTAGATAGGTGATGGGCCCTAGGGGAAATTTTGTTACTCTTTTCTGTATGAACTTGGCAATAAAACAATCCTGAAATCTTATTGCTATGCCCATAAATTGGTGCATCACTCAACTCTCATCAGAGGAGCTTCTTTATGAAGTATGTGGTAATTAACACAGAGATCTGCAACTGGTTTGTGTGCAGAGAATAAGAGACACTGGAATATTCAGCCCTAAAAGAGAAATCCATGCTTAGCCCTAAAAGAGTGAGAAGATTGTAAGAGCCAGAGATGGTAGAAGACTTCCAGGAAACAATGTTTTCTGGACATAATAAGGCAGATGCACATATGAACCCATCGTGATTATGACAGCATGCACAAGGCCTACAAGCTCAAACCAGACAAAGTCCAAGCATGGAGGTTATTTATTCCTTGTTCTTCACTCTCTTTATTATCCTTCCTCTCCCTTCTCCATTTAAGTCTCTCCATTTTTTTCTTCTAACCCATTCATAACATTGCTATTTTCCTTTCCAGAACTATTCTCACCTCCTTTAATGGTCCCTTTCTACTTTCCTGGCTTCTATGGTTGTTCCAGGTCATATATGCAAGCCTAAAGATTTGGGTCTAGGACCCACAATAAGAGAGATCATGCAGTGTTTGTTTTTCTGGGCCTGAGTTAATTCACTCAGCACAATATTTTCCAGTTATATTAATTTTCCTCAAATTCCATGATTTCATTTTTTTACAGCTGAATAGAGTTGCATTTTGTATTTGTACCATATTTTCATCACTCACTCATTGCTAGACAGCCATCTAGGCTTCTTCTCATCCTTTTAATTTTAATATTGTAGCCTGAGTTTATTTAAAACTCCCTTGCATTTTTCAGTTTCCTAAAAGTCTACCATTTGTATGTTCTATGCTTGTGATCCTGTATTCCAATTCTTTCCACATCATCAAAGATCTATTCACAAGTACTTATAAGGATAGAAAATAAAAGTGAGTGTACCGAAGAAAAACAGAATTTATTTTTTACTGTTGAAGTTTAGCCAAACTTAGAACAGAAGTACTCACATTTCTAACTATGTCTTTTGTCTGGTAATAAGGAAGTTCATTAACATGAAGGAATGGGGTCATACCATGGAACCCCAATCTCATGACCAATATAAATTTTCATAAGATCAGTCAGGAAAAAGAGATTGCAATCACAACCATCTCCTTCCATTGAAAGACTGAGAATTAATCCCATCATCTTTCCTTCCCTTCTTGCTCCTCTCCTTCCTCTCTTGTTTCCCTTCCCTTTCCTTCTTTTTCTTACCTCCTTCCATTTCTCTCTCCCTTTTTATTTTCTGAAGTCTCAGTGT